GCTGTAGGTTCTAGCAAAATTATGGCACTGCCTTGGTGACTAGTTGAAAGTAGCAAGTGCTCTTGCTTGTGACTGTGTTTTTCTGTTTTGTGACTAGCAAACAGTTTGTGGGACAATACCACTAGATCTGGGAGATAAGGTGTTTTTCCAAAATTATATAAATCACAGTTTTAGTATCCATTAGTTGATGGGAGATGCCATTATGTATATATGTTTCTCATACTGGTTAATAATAAAGCACTGTTGGCCAATAGGAAAGGAAGATAGGAGGGACTAGGAGACAAGGAGGAAATAGGAAGTAGGGAGGAGGGGTCAAGATGGAGAGTCTGGAGAAAGCAGTATGCCGCCGGCTCCCCGGTAAGAGAAATACATAGATCAGCAGAAATGGGTTAATAATTAAGGCAGAGCTAGCAGATAAGAAACAAGTAACCGGGCCAACAGTATTGTATCAAATACAGAGTCTCTGTGTGTTATTTGGGGCTGGCGCAGCGGCAGGACAAGACCGGGCGTCGGCGGGCAGAAAAACCATACTCCTTACAGATGGCGCCCACGTGGCTAGTAAGAACTGACACTTAAAATTTAACAAAAGCTTAAAAAAGGGTTTTAGAAACAAAAGAACAGAGACAAGCAAGGTTTCTTGGTAGCAGCATTTTTCTCAGTTGAACTCTGCTTTGCTAGAGACAAGCAGATATTTGCGCAGCTCCTTTAAGGGAAGATTCCTGACTCAGCATAAAAGGCAAAAAACCGCACAGCTTTTAAATAACTCTGCTAACTAACAGTTTATTGGTGTGTATGAGAGATGGCAATGGCATGCTTTCTGTGTGGCAGTGCAGACGAAGGCGGTGAGCACAGCTTTCCGTGCTGGCGGGTAAAAGTACCCGCCACCATCTTTGGTAAACTGCGGCTGACACAGCTATGACTTTCATTTTAGCAATGTTGTTGTTTACCAGATAAAAGACTTGGGGCCAGACAAAGATTTACAGTAAAGACAGATTCATATTAAGAAGAACCTCTAAAGGTTTACAGTGTGTCTTAAAATATACGTAGACATGAAAAAAAAAATGGTTTTAAAGAGACAAAGAGGAACTGGGTGTTGTAGCACACGCCTTTAATCCCAGCACTCAGGAGACAGAGGCAAGCAGATCTCTGTGATTTGCAAAGTAAACCTGGTATGCAGAGTAAATTCCAGGACAGATAAGAGTTACACAGTGAAACCCTATGTCAAAAAATAAAAGAATAAAAAGTAAAAGAAATGGAGTAATAATAAAGCCACGTAAAGATGAAAAGCTCAGAGAGAATCTGGTTATTGTATGCTATTGTGTTGTCTCTACATTGTTTGACTGCTGAGAAAATAACAACAACTGATAAAGGAAATGCTGCTGGATTAATTAAATTTATATATTTTAAAAATGCTTTGACTCTAACATTTAAGTTCAAGGACAAGTTACTGGGGAAAAGGATTTCTATTTTTGTTTCCACAGAAAATGAAAAGCTGTGGATTCCTTCCAGACTAATGTGGTTTGATCAAGCCAGGCCCCCTGAAACAGTCGCTGATGATCCAACATTCAAAACAGCTTGGACAAGGCTGCCTCGAAGACTACAGCCAAGATTTCTGCAACTTCTTAGGATCCCCATGACAGTGCCCCCTGTCAGCAGGAAGTAGTTTGGAAAGAACGACGCCCAAATTCCCAAATATCGTTTATAAATGTTTGTTTCCATTTAAATGGATTTGCTTATAAATGGTTAATGATCACAGCCAATTCTTTTTAAAGGTAAAAAGGGAATTATGGTATAGATATGAATACTTTGTTTTGGAATGGATTTTCATTTATTGATACAATTTAAGGTCAATAAGGTGATATGTATATTTCTCCTCTTGTTTAGGTATTGTGTTTATTGAGCTCAGTTAGAAATGTAATGTATAATGTAGTACAGATTATAGATAGTTACCTATGATAGTTAGAACTTATAGTTAAGTTAGTTAGTATTTCTAGATATACAGACATATATTTGAGATGGATAGGCATTCTTCAAACCTTTCAAAGACCTACAGAATATGGCATTTAAAATGACTTAGGGTTTTACTTGACAATGAGACATAATTGCTCCTGGTAATACCACCCGCACCAGAAAGGAAGATGGACATCGAAGAAATGCATTATGAAGTTTGCTTCCAATATGGCAAGACTAGCCATTTGGACAAGATACTGCTCTTGTCTGGACTGTTTGACTTTATGCTGTATATACTGGACATGCAGGACCCACAGAAAAGTGACTGCTGATTCAAGATGGACATTGCTACAGAGTTCCTGCTTCATGGAAGAGTCTGCGAGACAGTATGCAGGACACAGAGAAAAGTGACTGACAAACTGCGAATACAAGAAGACAGTTTAAAGTTTCCTGCATTGCTGAAGAGTCTGCCAGACACACTATGGCCTATGGGCTGAAGATGGAAGATTACAAAAGAACTTCGGGTGACCACGCAGTGAGTTGTCTCTGTCATTTCTAGAGCTTATATATTTTCCTTCTGTGGTCTTTGAAGGAGTTGAAGACAGATGGTTATGGTTATAGTTTTCATTAGTTAGGATTAAAGATAAGTTACTTAGACTTTAGACACACAAAGATAGAATAGATGATGGAATATTTTCTTCAAATCTTGCTAAATGTTAATGGACTAAATACTGTTAAGTGTGATTCTTACTTGTTAACTGTTGTATAATATATTTTGCTATGTTAAGGTTAAAACCCTTCTTTTTATTTAAACAGAAAAGAGGAGATGATGGGAGATGCCATTATGTATATATGTTTCTCATACTGGTTAATAATAAAGCACTGTTGGCCAATAGGAAAGGAAGATAGGAGGGACTAGGAGACAAGGAGGAAATAGGAAGTAGGGAGGAGGGGTCAAGATGGAGAGTCTGGAGAAAGCAGTATGCCGCCGGCTCCCCGGTAAGAGAAATACATAGATCAGCAGAAATGGGTTAATAATTAAGGCAGAGCTAGCAGATAAGAAACAAGTAACCGGGCCAACAGTATTGTATCAAATACAGAGTCTCTGTGTGTTATTTGGGGCTGGCGCAGCGGCAGGACAAGACCGGGCGTCGGCGGGCAGAAAAACCATACTCGTTACAATTAGTGATCTATATTTGAATTATTTCATAGAACAACCTGTTTCTCTGAGCCCACCATTCCATATTTGAAACTAGTCAATATTCATGTGTAAAGCACTTTCCCTCATCACTGGCACTGGATTACAATTCTATAACCAGACAAAGAAAATGCCCGTTCCTTTTAATAATCAATTATCAGGTTGGGCAGTGGTGTCGCACAACTTTAATCTTAGCACAGGAGGCAGAGGCAGGTGGATCTCTGTGAGTCTGAGGCCACCCTGGCTTACAAAGGGAGTTCCAGGACAGCCAGAGCTGTTATACAGAGAAACCCTGTATCAAAAAACCAAAAACAAACAAACAAACAAAAACCCACCAATTACCAGTGTTAAAAAGATAGTGGCTAGTTTAACAATTTCCCAACACAGTCAAACAAACCTTTCCTTGTTTGGGTATTGTTATGGTATTGTGGGCTTTTACCTTTTCTATGTATTGTAATCAATTACCACAGTTCTTACTAATGTTCAAATCATCTCTGATTTGCCTGCTGGAAGCACTCCCCATATAAATTCATTCTTGTCACATCCTCTTATTACTCTGAGCAGTTCTTTCCCTTCTCATTCTCACTTTGTGTTTTCTGTGCTTGGAGGCAGTCATTTCTTCTAGGAATTTATGAGGAGTTGCATTGGCAATCAAGAACTGATGTCTATTGCTTGCAGGGTGTCATTTCATCTGTGCCGGTGGGCAAAGCTGGGAAATGCATTTTTAAGATTCATGAGTTCAAGACTGGGGAGGTGGCTGTTATTAAAATGCTTGCCAGGCAAGCACAGAGACCCAGGCTCAAATTCCCAGCATTCACATAAAAAGTGGGACATTGAAGTTTATACCTGTAATCCCAGCACAAGGGAGACAGAGACAGGAGGCTCCCTAAAACTTGCTGGCCACACCCAGTCTAGCTCAATCAGTGACAGTCTCAAATTTTAAGAGGCAGAGGGATTGAGGAAGACACTTGATGTCCACCTCTGACCTTCATGTGCATATAAACACAGATGGACACAAACTCATAAACATACAGAATTACTTTATACTGATGAGTACAAAGTCTAAATTCAGCTGACGGCGTATGGCAGGGTAACATGCCTCTGGTATTAGCTACTGGGAAGCCTGAGGCAGGAAGGTCACACCGTGTGACTTCCTAGGGACCAAACTTAAGTAATCACACTTTTACAGGCAGAGCTGTCTCACTGGCACTTTCTTTGTTTAAATCACACATCTTTGGAACAACCAGTTAATAAAACTGGAAAAACAAACAAACAAACAAGGTCAATGGGAGAAAATACATAATTGTACATAAGACTGATTTCTCTTTTAGGTTCTTTGTTTAAACTTACTGACAAGAATCTGGAAGGCCAGCTGGGTGTTGGTGGCACACGCCTTTAATCCCAGCACTCGGGAGGCAGGGGCAGATGCAGGTGGATCTCTGTGAACTCGAGGCCAGCCTGGGCTACAGAGCTAGTTCCAGGTCAGGCTCCAAAGCAATACAGAGACACCCTGTCTCGAAAAAATAATAATAACAACAACAACAACAAAAACAAACGAACAAACAAACAAAAGAGAATCTGGAAGGCCCTACCCACAGAGCTATAAAGTGATGATAATTCAGTCGTTTGCAAGGAATTTATAAACGCTATTTAGAATTTATAAATGCTATTTAGAAATAAGAGACAAAAAAAGGTCACAACCACACTTTCAAACTTGGTCACAAAAGAGGGTTGGATAGCTTCGTGAGTGTGATTTGTTGCAGGAAGTGGGCAGAAAGACACAGCCCAGGCAACTCGTTGAATTGAAGACAGGAGAGTCGAGAGAGAAGCCTCCTCCGTGACTAGAGCGGCTCCAACAGCGACAGGAACTTCCGGGGTGGGGCCTGTCTAGTGCTTCCCCGTAGGGAATGTGGCCTTTCAGCGTTGCTGATATCGGCAGTCGCTTGGCCGCTACTTCCGTTACTTTAAGACGGTGCCTGAGGTTGGGGGTGACCATGGCCAAGAGCAAGTTTGAGTACGTCCGGGATTTTGAGGCTGACGACACCTGCTTGCCGCACTGCTGGGTTGTGGTGCGGCTGGACGGCCGGAATTTCCATCGGTGAGCTGGCGGGGCGGGAGACCGCGTGCGACGCCTGCTCTTCCGGGAAACGCGCGGCTCCCAGTTACTGGGGTAACGCGGCAGCCAATGAATACTCAGCATTGAGCGTCACCGGAAGGCTTGCTACAGTCAGACTTTGCAGCCAGCTGCTTGAAATATTTAAAAGGAGCCGGATAGTGTAATCAGTGAAGAGTCCGTGCTACTTAAGGAGAAACCAGTTTGCAAAAATTTTGTCAGGGGGAAAAGCCACTTCTAGGGCCACTCCTTAAACTCCAGCCAAATGTGCAACCCTTCTGTTATCTTTAAGTGCTATTAAGAGGCTCCCGTAAGTCTAGCGGTGGGTGGGAGTTGACAGTATGTCCCTTTCTCATTGTCAGTTTCAGATTACACGAACCTACTGCACTGTAGTCAGCTGAAAAAAGAGGGAGACAACGTGAACCGGTGGGAACTTAATTTCCATAAAGGACCACGTTATTATCACTTTATGACTGTATACGTGCATAGAGCTATGATATGTGTACTGAGCACTTAATAAGAGCCATATATAATTACATTTTGATTTCCTAATCATCAAGACTAATAAGGTAATATTCTCTATTTACCCAGTAAGGTGAACTTCAAAGGAAAGTGATGAAGCCTAGTAGTTATATCCCTTTTTGTTAACTGGTCAAAGCACAAAAGAAAATGCAGGTTTTTTTCTGTATGTGTTTATGTGTATGTAATTGTGTAGTCAGTTTTGGGGTGTCACTCTTCAGAGCTGTCCATCTTTATTGTTTGTTTATTTTTCGAGAAAGGGTGTCTTGGGTAGATTTGAAACCTGTTGTGGAACTCATTCTGTAGACCAGGCTGCCCTTGAACTCACAGAGATCCGCCTGTCTCTGCTTCCTGAGTGATGGACTTAAAAACGTGCACCATCACTGCCCGGCTACGTTGTCTATTTTGAGTCTCTCATGGAACTTCCTTGAAACTCACCAAGTACTGTAGCCTGGTGGGTCATTTAGGACCCAGGAATTCTCTTGTCTCCACCTTCCCAGCATTGGGATTACAAGCAGGTGCCAAGCTCCACACCCTCCTTTATGTTTCACGGATAGAACTTGTTCTTCATATTTATAACACAGTGTATGTACCGAGTTATTTCTCCTTGTCTGTTCTGCAGTCTCAAGGAATTATGTTAAGCTGTAACAAGTCACATGCTTGCAGCATTGTCCCCTCTCAATTGCTCGGTATTGGTAATGGCTGACTTTCCACCATCTGTGTCCTTCTCTTTCCTCTATGAAGGTTTGCTGAGAAGCACAGCTTTGCAAAACCTAATGACAGTCGAGCTCTGCAGCTGATGACCAAATGTGCCCAGACAGTAATGGAGGAGCTGGAGGACATTGTGCTTGCATATGGACAGAGCGATGAGTACAGCTTTGTGTTCAGGCGGAAAAGCAATTGGTTTAAAAGGAGAGCCAGGTGAGTTTTAACACCAGCCTCCCATTGGGTGTTTTCTCCTGTTCTCTGCTCTTCTTTTTATCCTGACAGCAGCTGAGATCTTAAAGATTTCAGGTGATGTTGCATCTACAAAGTGCACATTTCCTATTTTGAGTTTTTCCTTCTGTTGAGGTCTGTGCATTCTTTGTGTGTGTGTGTTTTGTTGTTGTTGTTTTAGTGTTTTTTTTTTTTTTAACATTTTATTATGTAAGCAACATCCTGCCTCCATGTATGCCTGTATGCCAGAAGAGGGCACCAGATCTCATTATGGAGGCTGTGACCCACCATGTGGTTGCTGGGAATTGAACTCAGGACCTCTGGAAGAGCAGCCAGTACTCTTAACCTCTGAGCCATCTCTCCAGTCCCCTGAGGTCTGAGCATTCTTGTTTGATCTATTTTTTTCAGGTGCTTCCTTTATCTGATTCTTTCCCATCTATATCCCATCAGTCCAGCTTTCAGACTGACTTATATTTCTACTCTATGTAAACAGAGTAGCTTTGCCAGTGTCATTCCTTCCATGCATTAAAGTATTATTTATACTTTTAACTAAGGAGATAAAGTTGATATTTAACTTGGTAGTAGATTGAAACTCTTAGAGGAATCAAATTATATGATGAATTGGTATGTTTTTAAAATATTGAACCCCTTTCTTCCAAGATTGAAAACAATACCAAAACAACAACAAAAATCTTGAACCAAAAATATACTACATCATCTGAAGAAAATTTTGGCGTATGCTGGAGAGTTGTTGTCAATTTTACCTGAGCTAAAGTCATCTGAGAAGGAACCTCAATTACGAAAATGCCTCTAGAAGACCCAACTGTAGGCAAGCCTGTAGGACATTTTCTTAGTTAGTGATTGATGGAGGAGGACCCAGATCATGTAGGTGGTGGCATCCCTGGACTAGTTATCCTGGGTTCTATAAAAAAAGCAGACTAAGCAAGCCATGGGGAGCAAGCCAGTAAGTGTACTTCCCCATGGCCTTTGCTTAACCCCCTGCCCCCAGGGGTCCTGTTTTGTGTAAGTTCCTGTCCTGACTTCCTTCCATGGTGAACAGAGATGTGGAAATATAAGCCAAATAAACCCTTTTCTGTCCAAATTGCTTTTGGTCATGGTGTTTCATTACATTAATAGTAACCCTAACTAAGACAGTGAGTAACTTAAGTAGAGTCAGGCTACATTTAAAACATACAGCCAAAACTTTAATAGTTTTTCTTAGCTGAATATATTTTATCTTGTGGCTGGTTGGACAGTTTGTGTAATTTCTCTGTTGCATCCACAGGTCCTATCTTGGTGTCGAATTAATATCAAACACTTTCTCTTCCCTTCTTCTACCCAACTTGTCTTGCACTTGCAAGTAAGTTCATGACTCTCGTGGCCTCCCAGTTTGCCTCCAGTTACGTGTTTTATTGGAGGGATTACTTTGCGGACCAGCCCCTTCTGTATCCCCCAGGATTTGATGGAAGAGTCGTGTTGTATCCTAGCAACCAGACCTTGAAGGACTACCTCAGTTGGCGACAGGCAGACTGTAAGTGGTTCAGTGTATACAGTTCAAGTCAAATTACCAAATCTGTACATTAAAGCTGTGGGTCTGATACAAGTTTGGCTTATTGGTATGTTGTTTGGAGTCAAGTATTTTTTTTAAAAAAGGTTTTTCTTTTCAATAGAGTCTTGCTGTAAACCCAGGCTGACTTCAAATCCTGCCTCAGCTTTAAAAGGCCTGTGTTATAGTAGGTGTGCCACCACACCCAACTCTCTCTAGAACACTAATTAGTTAACAATATTTGAAAAGTTAGGTGATTGATTTTACGGGGATATTACCTGTAGTTGTTTGTGGTGTGTGTGTGTGTGTGTGTGTGTGTGTGTGTGCGCGCGCGCACATGTACACATGCATGTTTGTAAATATATGAATGTGTGTGCATGCATGTACTTACATGTGCTTGCCTCTACAAGTGTTGTAGAGCCAGAGGAAGAAGTGGAATGTCCCACTCTGTCACTCTGTTTTGCTTTACTCCTGGAGGAAGTCTGGCAGCTAGCACATCCCAGAGATCCCTGGGGTTCCAGTTGCATGTAGCTATGCCCAGCTTCTTACACATGTGTTGGGATCCAAACTCAGGTCCTCTGGCTTGCACAGCAAGAACTCTTCCCTATTTAGCCATTTCTCCTGCCACCCTTGTTTGCTTTTTAAAATCAGAAGATAAGGCAGTCTTGTATTTGCACTCAATTTATGTAAAGCCTGTATAGTGGCAGCTGCCTTTTTACTTTGAAACACACACACATACACACACACACACACACACACACAAAGTCATAAGCTGCACAGTACCTGTTATTCCCTGCTGCTCCCCTGGAGTTACTTACTGCTCTATGAACTTACAGAGCATCAGTGGTGTTTGTGTTGTAATGCCTGTCTTACATGACTACAGTGAGGCTTGTAGTTGCAGTTTTTATTTTTCTGGAAAAGTTGGAAACAAAATTGAAATAATGTGAATCAGGTAGCTTGGAAAATATTTTTACAATGAACACCTAAGTCAACATATTTGCATAAGGCATTACCGAAATGACCAGGGAATAAGTTTTACATGCCTAGCCCTTTCCTTGTCTGTTCCCTATGTAGGCAGACTGGGCAAGCCAGTAAATGCCTCTGAGATCTGTGTATTTTAAAGTGGAGGGAAGCTAGGATGTGGGTTCCTGGAAGCATAATGAGTCTATGTATAAAACAAAGTACATATTCTATAATATATAATAATATATTTATATATAACTATGGTTCAGTATATATGAATGTTATTTTATTTTCCTTGCAGGTCACATCAATAATCTTTATAATACAGTATTCTGGGCCCTTATCCAGCAGTCTGGACTAACACCGGTCCAAGCCCAGGACAGATTAAAGGTATAAAGATCCTATAACAGAAACACAGCTGACGACACTTTCTCTGGCCTCCCATAGCATCTCTGGCCATTTTGAAAGGCCAGAAAGATCTCAGTAGCAGAAGCTCTCCTTGCTTGTTGTCAACAGGCATTGATTATTACTTCTCCCTGGGCTGCTGTGCCAACATAAAGTGCCAGTGTGCTTACACTTGGCTATAGTACCAGTTGCTTCACTTGACTGTAGTGCCAGCGTGCTTACACTTGGTTGCACCTGAGTCTTGGCTCCCCTCTTTAGGCAATACATGCACTCTTCTCCTTAGTCCTGCATGGCGGGTGTCTTCCCTCATGCCATGCCCTCCTGGCTCCTGTTACTTCTTAGACTTAGAACCCCTGAGTATAGTGAGAGTCAGTGCTCTGAGAGTCAGACAAGCACACTCCTGTGTATCCTTTCCACCCCCATAAAATTTAGGAATAATAGCTTACCTTATAGGCTTATACAAAGAACATGCTTTGATGCATGTAAACCCATGGAGAAGTAAGTTCTGAGTAGTACTGGCCTTCCTTCTGAGATTACACTGCTGTCAGTGGGGTGATTGATTCTTCAGTGAGGTGATGCATTGTGACAGGTCCTGATATAATGTCTTCCACATTGTGATTACTGAGGTAGCTGACTTTACTACTGCTGTCAGTAGTGAAGACTTAACACCAGTATGAATGCCAGCACCCATGTCTAGTTAGAGCCCAAATCAGATTTTGCTTCCTCTTAGAAGGGTAAACCTTCATCCGCTTTTTCTTTCCTAAAATGGAGATGACTTAGTGATCAAACAAGAAACATTAACACCAAGTTTTTGCTTACTGTTAGCTCCTGCAAACCACACATAGTCTGGACAATGCAACTAGGACTTACAGCAGGAAAGGATTTGATGAATGTAGACATTTAGATTGGATTAGGAAATCAGGGGCTGGTCATAATCTACATTAGATGAGAATGTCAGGGGCTGGAGTATGGCTCAGCAGTAGAGTGATCTGAATTTTAATTAAAATGAAAATTCATTAGTAACTGTATGATGAGCTCTAGCAATCCTTCTCTTTGGTGATGGGAGTGTAGGAGAAAGACTTACTGAGCTTTGCCTCTCTGTGTGTTTCCTCAGGGAACTCTGGCAGGAGACAAGAATGAAATTCTGTTCTCTCAGTTCCACATCAACTACAATGACGAGCCACCGATGTACAGGAAAGGGACAGTGTTGTTGTGGCAGAAGGTAAGGCTGTCTATTCAGAGAAAAATGGTGGTCAGGATGTGGGAGCCCTAGTCTCCCCTGGTTATGTTTTGCTCACACTCCGTGTAGGTAAGGTGCAGGCTGCTAACATGACATCGATACTTTCCAAAAGGAGGCACTGTAGAGGAACAGTTTGGATGTTCATTTTCATCAGTCAATAGTGGCCTGGAATCTCTCAGAGTTGATGTAAATAGTATCACAGAATTTTAAATTAGCATTTGTTTTCTGTGTGTCCCTATATCAGATAAACCCTCTTAATGGGATAAGGCTGGAGAGATGGCCCAGCAGCTAAGAGCCTTTATTCCTTTCTTAGATGACTCGGGTTAGTTCCCAGCACTGAACATGGTGGCTCACAATCATTTGTAATTCTGGTCCCAGGGGATTCGATACCTCCTTTTGATCTTCCCAGGCATGTGGTTCACCTATGTACATACTCAGAAGCAAAATACTCTTACATATAAAATAAAAATAAGCCAGGTGTGGTGGTGCACGCCTTTTGTCCCAGCATGTGGGAGGCAGAGGCAGACAGAACTCTGAGTTTAAGACCCGCTGGTCTACATAATGAGTTCTAGGCCAGCTAGGGTTACATAGTGAAGACATACTCTATTTTCAAAGGAGTGGACCATAGATAGGAAGAATTTCGCTTTCATAAGACATTGAAAAAATACTTTTTCTCATATCATAAGCACTAGGAGATATTTTAAATGGGAATGGAGGTAGCAAAAGAGACTTTGGCTTTTAGCAATTCCATGGGATTCCCCAGAAATTCATACTTGCCTTAATATTCTTGGATGCCTCTATACTTATTTCACCAATATTTTCTCTGCAATCAGCTCATAGGCATAATTATTTCTCTAAATTCATTTCATTAATTTTTTATGAATGAGTGCTTTCAAGAACTAAAAAGGGTACCTTGAGAGCCATCCTTCCCAATGGCAACCTCAACTCATTTATTAGACGTTTCTTATGTGTTTGTTCCTTAGTACAGCCTTGGATATTCATGCAGACAGAGGAAAAAGACCTTCAGTTCTACAGGCAGTGATAATTAGGACATGAGTTCCCTTTTTGTCTTTTCGAGTCAGGGCTTCCCTGTATAGCTTTGGAGCCTGTCCTTGAACTAGCTCTTGTAGACCAGGCTAGTCTCGAACTCACATAGATCACCTGCCTCTGCCTTCCAAGTGCTGGGATTAAAGGTGTGCACTACCATCACCTGGCTAAGTTCCCTTCTTGTTTGTAAGTCTACTGAATTAGTTGGTGCCTCTGGAGAAACAGAATAATTGGATGAATATAAATATAAGTATAATATATATCACCTAACACTAAAGTAGTAATAAGTTATCTCTCGCCTAAGAAGATAAGAACCTATTAGTTGTCTGGTTCTTAAGCTAGGTGTCTCAGCAGTTGGAGTTGTCCCTCAGGAGCTGTCTCACACTGGCAAGAGTATACCGGGCTGGGTGGCTCAGTACTCCCAACCTAAAACTGAAAACCTGCAAGGCTCCTGGGGTTGCTAGTCCCAAGTCAATGATGGGAGCTGGTTTTGGTACCAGAAAGTGCTGTCTACACTGAGTGGGTCTTCTATGTCTAGTAAGACAATCTGGAAAATTTCTTAGTTGAGTCTTCCTACTCAGATGATTCTAATTGGTGGCAAGATGACATTAAAGTCAATCATCACAGTCACTTTTCAAAATACAGTAACTTTTTTACAAGATTTGTTGTTGGCTATTATTATGTGTGGCTAAGGATCAACCCAGGGCCTTACATGTGCTAGAGAGAAACATTGCCATAAATCTACAGCCATAGCCCTAAAAGTACTATCTTGTTCTGTTTTTGAGACAGGGTCTCAATGTGTATTCCTGGCTGGCCTGAAACTCACTGTGCAGACCAGGCTAGGCTTGAACCCATACAAATCTGTCCACCTCTTAAGTGCTCGGATTAAAGGTATGTGCTTCATACCAGCCAAATGTATTTTTACTTAGAAAGAAATATGGCTACCCTGTTGGTAGGACTCATTTTTTAGGGGGAGGGGAGATTTGAGACAGGGTTTTGAGGCAGTCAGTAGCATATCAAGTAAAAAGGTGAATTTCTCCCATAATTCTCTTTGTGTCCCTACTTTTGTCCATAGGTGGATGAAGTCAGGACGCAAGAAGTTAGGCTGCCTGCAGAAATGGAAGGGGAACGGATGACTGTGACCCGGACCAGATCCAGGCCCGTGCCCTTGTACTGCGATCTCATTGGGGATGCGTTCTGGAAGGAACACCCAGACCTTCTGTCGGGAGAGAACTGACCCTGCACTCTGCAGTTCTGCCCTGTTTAACCATGCTGGGCTCCTGGAGTCTCCTGCCCTTGGGTGGCTCGAGCATTCCTAGCTCCAAGAACCCTGTATGGAGTGACGTGACTGGAGCTGGGTGGAGAGAAAGCAATGGACAGGGGCTATGTATCTTACTGTGCTCAAGCAAAACACCTTTCCTTTCTTTACGGTGTTAGAACATGACTTCTTTGGCTCTTTTCAAAATCATGATCCTATTTTTATAAAAGAACTATTCACGCTTCGCTGGAGGAGTCGTTTTTAGCTGTGGCATAAGCCTTAGAAAAATCCATGGCCTCTTTTCACCTCTGATAGAAGAGGAGCCCAGGCTTTACCCTCACCCACCTGTCTGAAGTAGGGAACACAGTGACTGGAAAATCCCCCTTCTGACAGCCGCGTGCTTGCACTCATCTTTTGCCATGAGGTTAAATATGGGTTCCTGCCTGCACAATGCCTCCAGATTGAGGGATCCCAGGGAACACTCGAGGCTTTGTGCCAGTTCCCCGGGGTGGCAGCGTTGACTGAACAATCGAGGAGTGGTTCATTCCTCCTGCACCATTCCAGGGTTGATTTTTCTGGAATTGTTCCCATGATCATCATCTTCTCTTACCAGGGACATTATTTTCCAGTCACTTAACTCTTTTAAACAAAAGGTATTTTGGGGAGGGTGTGTGTGTGTGTGTGTGTGTGTGTGTGTGTGTGTGTGTGTGTGTGTGTGTAAGCAGCTATTCCATGGATGCTAGAAGTACTTCAGTTGGAAAAGCTGACTTTGGGTTAGAATTCTGGGCAAGCATTTTCAAATAGCCGAAATGTAGTCAGAACCATACATTTGGATTCAAGAACAACAGGAGGCCTGATTTGGTGGTTCAGCCTAATCCCAGCTCTCAGGAGGTTGGGGGTAGGAAGAGAAAACATTTGAAGCCAAACTGAACTACATGGCAAGACTGTAAAACAGAGGTGGGCTTGGGGACGCTATTGATCTCAGAGGGTTAAATACCTTTCCTGCTGATGGCTGGATGGAGTTGGCAAGAGATCATTTGTTGCCTAGGTGTTGAACTCAATAGGATAGTCACGTTTTCCTTTGACTTTGTTTTATATTTTAGAGGAAAAAGATTATTTTCCTCCACCAGGAATTAATTAAAAGACAGCCCATGTCCTGCTTCCTGGTCTTGATTGCAGAATTTACAGCCAAGAAGAAAATGTATTTCTGACAGAGCTGCGTCTGGCTCATTCCTCACCAATTGACACCCCATCTGCTGATGCCATTTTTTTCCTTCCTGTTCTCCCCACTCCCTAGGATGAAGTGATAGAGCAGCTCATGTTTGGTAACTGAAATAAAGATTTCAACTCCTTGGCCTACTTAGTTGGTTTTTACAGAATGAGTCTAACTTGTGTGCATGTGTTTGGGCAAGCTAGGATGCAGGGACCCACATGGCAGACATCCAGAGACTTATGGAGACGTTTTTAACAAATGTTAGTTTGAATACTTAATTTTAAAGTGCCAATGTAAGACACCCATGTGGATATTTTGGACTTGGCAATGTGATTTTTTTTTTTTTTTTAAAGCCCAAAGGCTTCTGATACATGGCTGTAAGCATGATAGTACATTTGGTACATTTGGCAAGCAATTCCCTCAGCATACTGATGAGGCAGTGAGATCGTTAGTTCTTGATGAGCAAATTTAACTTAATGGTAAGTTGATGGGATTTTATATCAAGATTGGACAAGTAGGAAATAAAAACCGAAGTTTCATGACAACCACTGGAGAAAGTTTGTACTTTCAGACACTGGAAAGCCTGTCTCTGGACTTGTCCTAAGATAGTCATTTACTGGTAGTTATGTGGTTTGAGGTTTTCACTCATGAAGGGGATTTTAAAGCAATAAACCAGGTTTATTATCAATGCCATCAAGAAACCATTACTTGGCTGGAGAGATGGCTCAGCAGTTAAGAGCACAGCCTGTTCTTCCAGAGGACCTGGGTTCAATTCCCAGCACCCACATGGCAATCACAACTATCTGTAACTTCAGTCACAGATACCCTCACACAGACATACATGCAGGCATAACACCAGTATGATAAAAGTAAATAAATATACCTTTAAAAAAAACCATTACTCATTGCTTGATTTTCATTTTGTGTGTTTTCATACCACCGTGTATCTCAACAGTTCATGTTAATTTTCATCTTTGTTTTGAAGATAATTCAAGCATCCCTTCCAGTCACATTTTCAAACTCACAGAAAGTAAATAAGACCCCAAAGCAGCTAGTGTAGACTTCATAGTGGTTGATACTTTGAGAAGGTGGTGGCAGTTAGGAGTGCCTTGTGTGGCTGGAGATGACAGGAAACAGGTCAGCACTGCTGGATGAGAAGGTGCTGTCTCCAGGAGACTCACTTTTTAAAAAATGAGTTTGGAGCTGGAGAGATGGCTCAGGGGTTAAGAGCACTGACTACTCTTCCAGAGGACTGGGGTTTAGTTCCCTGGACCCACATGGTGGTTCACAATTGTATGTAACTCTAGTTCCAGAGGATATGATACTCTGGCCTCTGGGTGCATTGACTACATGTGATGCACAGGCATACATGCCAACAGACATGCATGTGAAATATATTTTAGTTTTGCTGTGTTAGAGCTATAAAATGGTGTTGTTTGATCTTATGATCAAACTTATGCAGTACTCGGGAAAACGGTGATGGAGTGAACTTTCTTTGATACGAAAAGGTCTCCAGTGTTGGAGAGCAGGGAAAGGAAATGAGGATTGCAACCACCCACCCTTCAGAGTACTTAACCAGCTAGCACGCACCCACTGTGTGCTCTGTGCCCTTCTTGTCATATTTAGATGACAGTAAAAGCCCAAAGAGGCTCAATAATTTGAGCCCAGACAGGCTAACTCAACCCATGTCAGGAGTGCAAAATGGGATATGTTTTGTTGTCCTGTCTTTCACCTCCAGCTCAAGCTGAACAAGAGAGAATGTCCTGGGATTTTAAAATGTGGGTCTCAGGGCCCATCCCGGAGTATCAAACACCTTAAGCTGTCAGTTAAGTATCAATAAGGTTTTTCTTTTTTAAATAAATGGTTAATTTTTGTACTGCTTTCACAATGTTGGCTTTATTTTCGAATAATCTGACCCTAACTGTATATTTTGTTGACGTTCGATCTCAAATTCAGAAAAGATAGTAAATGTCAATGGGTGAGGGGAAATGGGAACTAATAAATAGCATCTACTTCAGGAACAAAAGAAAAAGGTCAGAGGACAGCCCCTACATATCAGCTGTCTGCGGAGGCAGAGCGAGGCCAGGCAGCGGGTCACGCCTCTCGCCACGCCCCCACATCGCGCCACCCCCCCCGCAGCTCTCCTGGGCTGGTCGATGCTGCCCCCTGGTGGCAGCGGCTGCACAGTGCGTTCCCCGGAGCCGCGGCTGCGGCTGCGCAGTGCCGCCCTCTGCCGGCCCGGCTCCTTCCTCCCTCCCATCGGCCTCGGCTTGCGGGCCTTTCAAACATGGAGGAGCGCGAGTGGGGGGCGAGGTCGGCTCGCGCCGGCAGCCCAGCCAGCCCGCCCAGCCCGCGGCTGGACGTCAGCTCCTACAGCTTCGACCCGCTGCTGGCCCTGTACTCGCCGCGCCTGCCTCCCATCCCCTACCCCAACGCGCCCTGCTTTAACAACGTGGCGGAGTACGAGAGCTTCCTGAAGGGCGGGCGGGCCGGGCGCGGCCGGGCGCGGGGCACCGGGGAGCCGGCCTCGGCGGGAACCTCCACCGGAACCTCCACGGGAGCCGGCACCTCGAGCAGGGCCCGTCGCCGCGCCGCGCCCACCCCAGATCCCGAGCGCATCCAGCGTCTGCGCCGCCTCATGGTGGTCAAGGAGGACGCGGACGGCGCGGCCGGGGCTCGACGCCAGGGCCCGGGGCGCAGCAAGAAGGCGCCACGCAACGTGCTCACGCGAATGCCCTGTGAGTGCTGTCCGGCCGGGCGGCGGGAGGTCGTCTACGGGTGTCTGTCTCGAGGGTCGTTGGGGTGGGGGGGAGCTGCGCACGAAAAGGGTCGCCTGTGAGCCGCAGAGGCTCTGCAGGAGTTGAGGGCGAGGGAGAGTGACGACCCACGCGGGAAGATCTGCACATACTATTGATGCAGAGGAGTGTGCTCTCCTCTGCAGAGGGGCTGCGGGAATCGTGAGGCATGCGGAACGATTGTGGGGCTTGCCGACAAGAGTTTGGGTCATCCGAGGTGTGCAGGAGTGATGAGAGGTCTTGGGGACCGCTGCAGGGAGATGGGCCGGAGACCTACAGAAGTTGTGTTGAAGCACAGCCAGTCTTAAGGTGAGTGGGATTGAGGATCAGGTGGAGAGTGAGGCGATAGATCTGTTCACATAGCACAAGATATATCCCAGTATGGGAAGTGACAGCTCCTCTTGAGGTGCCGGTTTGCAAAATTGGCTGCCGGGGACTTGGTCCACCTATGTTCACATTAACTAAATCACTGGTGTTGGAATGCAGCAGGCACAGAATGCCACCAAAACCCAGGTGCGGTTTTACAGCCACTAGCTAGCTGGGGCAGGAGTATCTGTCAAGCTCTCAAGTTGCCCATTGTGCAGGTTGTTTTAAATTCTGAAGGTGTATATGGCACAAAGGAATGCAGCTTCCTAATAGATCCTCAGGGTGAAGCTGTAAACAGCAAAGATTCTAATGTGCTAGTTAGGTCTCGTATAAATTGAATAAAAACAGCCCAGGGTTATACCAAATAGTTCTGACATCTGCCCTGTGAACACAATGACCTACTTAGCCAGTCAGAGCTTCTGTAGCCTACTAATTAAATCGTTACAATGTTAAAGTGACTTCTTTTGGAATAGAGGAGTGAACTCAGCAAGAGATTTTGTTATGTTCCTAGAAATGTGTTTATTAAGAGAGAAACATCCTGAAACGCTGTGTGCTGCTGGTGGTGCCTTTGTTGGATGACATACTGTACCAGAGGCTTCCTGCCCAGCTAGGATTTTCCAGAGCTGGCTTGCACAGCAGTAGCAGAAAGAGCGTGCATGGCTCTGGAACAAGCAGTTGCAGGCAGTACCTTCTTTTGCCTATGTGTTTTGTCACTGTTCCCTTGTTGAATTGCACCCAAGTCTTGGCGTGTAACATTTATTCCCATTTATTCCCCTTACTGCCTTGCTACCAAGATTGTCAAGGGAAACGGTTAAGAGTGGTTCTTGTTTTTCTGTGTTAAGACTGTGAAGACCAGCTTCATCTGGTTCT